CATATCCTTGAAGTTGCCAAGGTTAAGAAACAGTATCCTAGACAGAACAATAGCTATGTGGGTGTGCTAGATTCCCACCTAAATCTTATTTCCTCTTTTTTTTCTTTTGCAGAAAGTCCCCGTGAGAAGTTGACAGAAGTGCCCCCTTTAATGAGAGGCGGTGTAAGTGATGTTTTCCTCTTTAAAGGCTGTTGTAACGATATATTTAATCCATGAAAATGCCTGTTTTTCAGTCTCTGTTATTCATGGATGATCTTGAAACTGGCCAAACCCTGGCTCACCTAAAGCAACCAAATCACTTTGAAGATACCACATCATTTTATTAGGCATGCAAACAATACAGGGCACACTGGGCTCCCAGCATAGCTTGTGGGGCAGCCCTGAGCAAAAGCAGAACCACAGCTTATATATCCTTGGGCTACTACATTACAAGACAAAGAAAGAGGCAGACCCAGTAGGACATTGGGATGTTTTTGATAAGTCCATCTAGGTGACCTTATTGTTGGTAGTCCTCACTTAACAACCATTCATTTAGTGACCGTTCAAAGTTACAACCAGTCCTCGCACTTACAACTGTCACAGTACCCCTGCGGTCACATGATCGTGATCTGGGCACTTGGCAACCAGCTTGCACTTATGACAGTTACAGCTTCCCGGAGTCACGTGATTGCCATTTAAGACCTTCTCAGCCGGCTTCCAGCAAGCAAAATCAATGGGGAACCATGTGATTCACTTAACGACCATGTGATTTCCTTAATGGCTACGATGATTCGCTTAATGACTGCTGCAAAAAAGGTTGTGAAATCAGGCACGAATCGCTTAATAACCGCCCCACTTAACAACATATTTTCCAGTCCCTATTGTGGCCATTAAGGAGTACTACCTGTATTTATCCCTTCCTACTAGGCTGTCTCGGACTATCAACAATTTGGTTTACCGGGCTACCGGTCGCACTCAGGGCCAATTCAGCTTGCTGTGAATGTTTTCTTACAAGGGCACTTTAAGCAGTTCACATGGATGGGGAGGGCATCTCATAGGTTTGGTAGTGAATGTAGCTCACAAGTGTATGGGAGGGTACCTTTTTCCACCACAGAACCATACTCTGGTGTCAGAGGTTCTCAACACTTGCCATAGCAGTCCTATCCAGGAATCATCGAGTAAGGCTGCAAACTTATACATCCTTAGAGATCTCCCGCTGAATTTAAACAGGGTCACCTTCAGAGCTTCAGAGTCCCACTGTGGTTGTTTCACCCAACATGCTCATCGAGTTTCCTGGATTAATCCAGTTCTTGAGTTTGCACAATCATCAGAACATAAACTAACCAACTGACTGTCAGAACCTACATCAATCAAATGTCAGTGTTAGAAAAAAGCGGTTGTAGAGCCATAGCAGTCAATGGGTGTTTGCTGTCAGAGTCTGCACACTCAATCCCAAAGTTCAGTAAATCCTCTGGAGTCCAAAAGTTCC